TGCAAAGTTAACTGTAAGGAGGGAAAATGTAGCAGAGAGAACAAAAGAGAACTTTTACCATGTACAGAACATGATACAGTTGTTTCCCATGGGACTTGTGGTATATGTTGCCTACTGTATCTTTTAATGTGTACTTGCATTCATTAAGGGATATTGGCCTGAGGTTGTTGTATCTTGGTATCAGGGTAATGATGGCTTCATAGAATGAGTTAGAAAGTGTTCCCTCCTCTTAACTTTTTTGGAAGAGTTTCAAAAGGATTGGTGTTAATTCTTATTTAAATATTTTATGGAATTCATCAGTGAATCTATCAGGTCCTGGGCTTTTCTTTGTTGGGAGGGTTTTGATTACTTAAACAATCTCCTTAACTTGTTATAGTTCTACTCAAATTTTCTTTCTTTTTTTTCCCGCCTGGACTCAGATTTGGTAGTTTGTGTGTTTCTAGGAATTTGTCAATTTCTTCTAGGTTATCCAGTTTGCTAGTGTACAATTATTCATAGTATCCTTTTATAATATTTTTTAAACTTCAATAAAATCAGTAATAATGTCCCAACTCTCATTTGTGATTTTAGTTATTAGAGTCTCTCTCTTTCTCTCTCTCCCTCTTTTTTTTTTTTCCTTTGGTAACCAATCTCTGCTAAAGATTTGTCAATTTTGAAATCAACTTTCAGTTTCATTGATTTTTCAATTTCATTGGTTTTTCAGTTCTCTAACTAATTAATTAATTAATTACATTTTACCTCTTTTCTAATTTTTACATTTCCTTCTTGCTTTGGCTCAAATATGATTTTTCTCTAGTTCTTTAAGTTATATTGTTAGGTTATTATTTTTTTTAAAGATTTTATTTATTTATTTGACAGAGAGATCACAAGTAGGCAGACAGGCAGGTGGGTGGCGGGGTGGGGAAGCAGGCTCCCTGCTGAGCAGAAAGCCCAGAGCCAGACTCAATCCCAGGACCCTGATATCATGACCTGAGCCGAAGGGCAGTGGCTTAACCCACTGAGCCACCCAGGTGCCCATATTTTTAGGTTATTAATTTAAAGCCTTTTTTAATGTAGATGTTTATTGCTATAATTTTCCTCTTAGCAGTGTTTTTGCTGAATTCCATAAGTTGTAGCATGTTGTGTTTTCATTTTCATTCATATCAAGATATTTTATAATTTCCCCTGTAATTTCTTTTTTGACCTATTGTTTTTTAAAAAGTGTTATTTCAGCATTTTTGTGAATTTTCTCCTTTTCCTTTTGCTGTTTATTTCTAGTGGCATTTCCATTGTGATCAGAAAAGATACTTTGCATGATTTGTCAGTTAAAATTTACTAGGATTTGTTTTTTTGGTCTGATATGTAATATATCTTGAATGTTCCATGTGCACTTAAGAAGAATGCATATTCTGCTGTTGTTAGGAAGAATGTTTTGTATAAATATTCTTTGGGGTAATCAGATTATAGTGATGTCCAAATTCTCTATTTTCTTGTTATTCTTCTGTCTTCTTGTTCAATCCATTATTGAAAGTTCAGTATTAAATACTCCCCCTATGGGGCTCAGTAAATCAAGTGTTTAACTCTTCGTTTTGGTTCAGGTCATCACATCTCAGGGTTGTGGGATCAAGCCCTGCATCAGGTTCTACACTCATAGCAGAGTCTGTTCATCCTGCTCCATCTGCTGTCCCCCACTCTCTCTCTTTCTCTCAGATAAGTAAATAAAATCTTGAAAAAAATTATTCCACCTATTATTTCATTTTTTTAGGTTTTTTTATTTATTTACATAATCTCTACACCCCACATGCTACTTGAGCTCATAACCCCAAGATCAAGAGTTTCATGCTCTTCTGATTTAGTCAGCCACAGCCCTTCCACCTGTTACATTAGAACTACCTTTTCCTCTCTTCAATTCTGTCAATTTTTATTTCATATATTTTTGAGCTTTTAGTTGCTTTTAGTTGGGTATTTGCTTATAATTATATTTTCCTGATGCATTGAAAATTTTATCAATATAGAATATCCTTTGTTTCTTTGTTTCTTTATTTTTTTTTTATTTCAAGTTTATTTTGTCTGGCAATAATATAGCCACCACAGTTTGTTTTTGTGTATGTGTGTTTATATATGGTTACTAATTACATGGAATATATTTTTCCATTCTTTTGCATTCACCCTCTTTTATCTTTTTATTTAAAGCTGAGTCTCATGTAGACTGTGTATAGATAAATATGTTTGTTTTTAAATCCAATCTTCCAAGCCCTTTCTTTTACTTGGAGAATTTAATTTATGTACATTTAAAGTAATTATTCCTAACGAAGGGCTTAGTTCTTCCAGCTAGCTGTTTTCTGTATCTCTTACATGTTTTTGTTCCTTAATTTCTCTATTACTATTTTCATATTTATTTATTTATTTTTTGGTGGCCTACTATTTTGATTCCCACCTTTATCTCTGTGTTATTTTCTTACTAGTTTCTTTAGGGATTATAATTGATATCTTAAACTTATAACAGCCCATTTTTAATAATAGGAGCTTAGTTTTAATAATATACACTCTTCCTATACATATTTGTCCCTTTTACATTGTTTTTGTCACAGATTGCATCATTATACATTATATGATCATTGACATAGATTTTTAATTATTGTGTTATTCATTTGCCTTGTAAATCATAGGAAAAAATGTTGGAAACCAAAAGTACAATAACATTCAGTTGTATATTTACCTATGTAATTACCTTTATAATTATTCACTATTTCTTATGTCTTTGAGTTACTCTTTAGTGCCCTTTTATTTATGTCTGTAGGACCTCCATTAGTATTTCTTTTTTTTTTTAAGATTTTATTTATTTATTTGACAGAGAGAGATCACAAGTAGGCAGAGAGGCAGGCAGCAGACGGGGGGTTGGGAGCAGGTTCTCCGCTGAGCAGAGAGCACAATGTGGGACTAGATCCCAGGACCCTGAGATTATGACCTGAGCTGAAGGCAGAGGCTTAACCCACTGAGCCACCCAGGTGCCCCTCCATTAGTATTTCTTACAGAACAGGTTTGCTAGCAATAAATTATATTTGTTATTGTCAATTTTGGAATATCTTACTTTCTCCATCATTGTTTAAAGGAAGATAGTTTTGCTGGAGACAGAATTCTTAGTTGAGAGTTTGTTGTTATTATTATTATTATTATTATTATTATTTTAATTTGAGGACTTTAAATATGTTACCCCACTACCTTTTTACTTACATTGGAGAAATCAGATGTTAATCTTATTGTGGATCCCTTAAATGTAACAATTCACTTCCCTCTTGCTGTTTTAAAATTACTTCCTTTCTTGGCAGTTTGATTCAATGTGTCTCAGTGTGGACTTCTTTCAGGTCCTGCTCAGAGTTGATGTATTTGTTCATAGTTTCCTTTAGCTCATTGAACATACTTAAGATAGTTGATTTAGTGTTTTTGACTACTAATTCCAAAATTGAGTTTCTTCAGAGACAGTTTCTGTCATATTCTTCATTTTTTTCATGTGTAACTTATGCCTTCCTATTTTTTTGTTTGTTTTATGTTTTTTTCTTGTTGTTGCTTTGTTTTGCTTTTTGCATGCCTTGTAATTTTTTGTTTTTGTTTAGAACTAGACATTTAAGTATTTTATAATTGTGGAATTTGGATTTTTCTACACCTCACAGACTGCTGAGTTTTGTTTGTTGGGAGCTGTAGCTATTTGTAATTTTTCCAAACAATTGTTGCAAGCTGTATATTCCTTGTATGTGGTTACTGGGTTTATGGTTTTATTATCTCTACTGTCAGCCAGTAATCTGACAAAATTTCCTTAAATGGTTGGTTCCAAAAAATAGGGGAGGTGTTCCTATTTAAGTCTTTTGATAGATGCCATCTGGGGAAGCTACTGCAACCTAAGAGGGTTGAAACCAAGGCAAGCACTTGCACTGGCCCTTCAGGGAACTGCCAAACCAACCAAAATGCACATCCTTAAATTTCAGATAACATGAGTCCCACTGCCCACCGTGGCATTAGCCAGCACCTCAAGGACACAGACACTATCTTCATAGTGGTGCTGAGGAATGGAGTTTGATACCTGTTTGTGCATGTTGTTCTCTTACCACAGAACAGCAGTGTTTCCCTTCAACAGACACTTCCCTTGTTGTGAGTATCCAAGTAGGTTATAGTATTTTGAAGTAGTTTATTTGAATTACTCTTTCTAGCTCAGTGATTGCTTTTGTGGTGGGACCAATCCCTGGAATGTACTTTTCTGCCATTTTGTGTCAGCCCTACTTTCTTAAATCTCTTTTCCTGCTTTTCTTCCTTTGATGTATTTTTTGAAATCCCATACATGCCCCCAAAATGTTGGTTGCTTGCTAATGTAATGATAATTAGAACTGTATCATAGTCCAAGATAAACTAGGTTGAGAAGAATTCATCAATTTTGATTCTCTTCAGCATCAGACTTGAACATTCAGATTTCACTGCTTTCGCTAGGTTCTCCATTAAAGTGGGAATGCATTGTGTATTTAAGTACATTGTAAATAATGGGAGATTTTTTACAGGCTTGGTATGGTTCATAAGATTAGAGATTACTCCTAATTTTGTCCATTATGAAGAATAGAGTCGACTTTTATTATTGTTATTACACATGATTTAATTTTACATAGTATTTTTATGTTTTCCGAATGAATTGACTTTCTGATAGAAAATAAAGCTTAAAAATGCAATATGGGTTTAAGGCCTAGAAATTTAGTCAGTTTTACCATGTCATTTACTTCCATATGGTCTTTTTATTATCATTTATGTACCGCAGTCCATGGAAAGCAAATGCATTTGTATATTTAATCAAATTAAATTGTAGTTCATTTTTTGGTTATTTATTTGGGACAGAAGGGGTGTATACACTGGTGCCATAACAGGAACAGGATCGTAATCAGAAACTTACTATCCTAGATAATCACTTTTAGAGTTGTTAATGTAGGCTTAACAGTCCTAATAATAAAATATTAAACTTTTATACTTTTATTTCTTTTTAGAACCTTGTAAAACATCTTCCAGAGCAGAAAGTACTCAGTGAATTAGCACAGCTGAGGAATGAATATCATGACCTCTGTGAGCCCGAGCAATTTGGAGTTGTGGTATGTATCTAGCATAAGGGCCCACAGACTGTGTTGTGATGTAGTAATTATCAGAAACAGTGAAAAGGACATTTCAGTTGTTGATTTTTTTCAAACTGCATAGCTACGTAATGTTATATTTAACATTGTCAGGGAAAAGAACTTTATTATTGTTTGTCATGGTTTTGAAAATATAAAGAAATTAAGTTTTTATTCCGCAGAGTACCTCAAGGTATCTCATGGCATCTCCTCCATACTAGTGCCAATATTTAATTCTATTAATATATGAAAAGTAGTATATATTATTGTATTGTCTATTTTTCTTTTATTTAGGTCTTGGTGTTAGAATTTCCCCCTCCCCAATTTAGGCTAAATAAAAGAGTAGAAACTAGATAAATAGCAATAGTTTAAAAAATTTTGTTATATATATGTATCAGAGAAACCACAAGAATTTTTAGATTTCCTTTTGTGTGTCATTAATTAATTGAAAATTTTAAATACACTGTTACAGTTGGGAAGAAAATCTCATAAATGCATATCATACTTTAGTATGATTAAATCATTATTGGAATGAGTTGTGTTTGTTCATCCCCTCTTCATTTTAAGAGGTACAAAAGATGACTAGAGATAAATTATGTATTAGAGAATATAGTTATATGTTTTAAGCATTCCTCAGACATGCTATTGAAGTAATGGACAACACATGGGAAAGACAGGATGGTGATTTATTTAATCTCTTGGAGAAAAAAAATACTATTTTTAACTTAGGTATTCAGTACAAGTTTGTTCAGTGTATGAATGAGAAGCTATACTACGGCTGCTAACTTTATCCTGGCTCCCTACCAATGTCATATCTGAATACTAAGATTGAAAATTATATTGGAACTAGTAGTCGAATACTGTGTTTCAAATATTTTATTCCCTTTTTAATAGTAATATATTATAATTTATCTGATTTGGTACTTTGCAATTTAAAAATCACGTTTAAAGTCAAAATGTGATAGATGGGACAGAGAACATAACTTTTTAACATGTGCAATAACTGCTTGCCCATATTCAAGCTTATTAATTCTCAGATATGGCATTGTGTATAGTAGTATAGGAGGGTTCTGTCAAATCCTTGAAAAGAAAATCAGGAATGTATTTTTGGGATGAGGTAGAGCTAATGTAAAGATACCTGAGGAAGATCTTTTTTCTTCTTTTTTGAATTAAGCAAATTATTCTATCTAGTCAGTTGAGCTGACTAGATATTATTTATTAATAGTGGTGCTTTAGTGCAATATTAAATAATAAAATTTTCTAGACCAAAGTCCTCATTTGAAACTTAAGCTACTTGAATTCATACCATAATTGAAGAAAGGCTATATACTATCTGAGAATTCAGCTGATTCATGATGGTTATGAGTTTTACAGTAGGTACACTACACAGTTTCTCTGGTCATTTTTTTTCCTGAATGCTTTTTATCTTGGAAGATGTATTAGTTTGCCAAGCAAGTCCTTCAAGAGGATTATCCTTGGTGCCACACTGAGAAAATGAATTTTGGGGACATAAAAAGCAATATACCTTCTGAACTAAAAGCAAAATAGAAAATGGAAGAGATTTTTTGTTTATGCACATAATGATAAATTATTCTGGGTCTGTGAATATGAAGTTATCTGATCCTCTTATTTAACTCTCCCCATCCTTAGTTACATGTCTGTAGGGAAAAAAATCAAGGACATTACAAAGTAATTTGTGCGATGTAAATCACCCAAGGTAGTATCCATTAGGATTTGCCAAATAAAATTTAGATAATCTCATATCTAGGATAATATTTTTGAAATAATGATAGGCCCTATTACCTGCTATTATTGTTGCCATTATTATTTATAGAGAAAATGTATTGGGGTGCTTAGAATAATATCTTATATATAATAGATAATAAATGTTTATTGAATTGAATTACAGGATGATTATTAGACCCAACTCTGAGCCTGAGATTAAAAATAGCATATTTTAGGGACACCTGTGTGGCTCAGTTAGTTAATTGTCTGCCTTCAGTTCCGTTCATGATCCCAGGGTCCTGGGATCAAGTCCCACATCAGGCTCCTTGCTCAGTGGGAAGCCTGCTTTTCCTACTGTCTGCTGCTACGCTGCCTATGCTCCCTTGCTCTCTATCTCTCTCACTGAGAAATAGATAAATAAAATCTTCTAAAAAATAATAGTAAAAAGTAAAAAAAGCATATTTTAGATCTGTAAAAGTAAAAACTGTGTTAAAACATATTTCTCCAGGTCAGTGCTAAAATTAGATTAGCTTTGGTGTGAATATACTCAAAGACTTTTTAATCCTCAAAATATATCGACAGCCTACATTTAGGAAAATTTCAGAAATGTGTAGAATCATCTGCAGTAATGAGAGAGGCTCCAAACTGGTTGTCTTGTTTCTGCTAATTCCCCCATCAATACAATTAGTGTAGTCTACTGAAAATCTATATCCAGCATGTGATGTCTGTATTGAAAACCTTCAGTGTCTCCTGGAATTTACAGAATAAAACCCGATCTCCTTAGTATTCTCATTGTGCCGCTAACTCTGTGGCCTTATTATCTCCCTGTTCTCCTTGGTGAACTGAGTGAATTGGTGTCTTTATGACATTTTAGCTTTTACCTCGGCGGGACTCTCATTGCCATTTCAGCAGTTATTTTACTTGATCCTATTCAGTGGCCTTTTATTTTCCATAGCAGCTATACCGTATCTTACCTGCTCTCCTCAGGTCTTCTAACCCTCCTCTCCCCATTCTTTTCAATTAATACCAACAGTGTAATCTCTTACCAGAGAAAAAGGAAAGCACTTAGGCTTTTAGGACCTCCAATATCTCTTCTGCCTGCAAGGCTATCTCTAGACATATCTTTTATTAACCTGTTCTCTGTCAAATCTCAGAAAAAGGGATACCTTATTACTATAACTAATATTGTTGTTGCTATTATTATTTATAGAAATAAAATGTATTAAAGAGTTACTGTTTCTGATACCATGTTAAGCATTTTTATATGCACTGTCTTATGTATTCTTCATTACCCTATGAGGGTAGCACTTTTATTAGCTCCATATATGAATGAGGAAACCCTGTCTAAAGAGGGCTAGGGACCTTGTCCCAAGGTTCATAGTAAGTAGTAGATGTGGAATTCAAACCCAGGCAGTCTGAGTTCATAGATGGTGTTTTTATTCATTTTTTTATTTAAAAAATTTTATTTTGGGGGCACCTGGGTGGCTCAGAGGGTTAAGCCTCTGCCTTCGGCTCAGGTCATGATCTCAGGGTCCTGGGATTGAGCCCCGCATCAGGCTCTCTGCTCGGCAGGGAGCCTGCTTCCCCCTCTCTCTCTGCCTGCCTCTCCGCCTACTTGTGATCTCTCTCTGTCTATCAAATAAATAAATAAAAATCTTTAAAAAAAAATTTTAGTTTTATTAAAGAATAATTGACATACAGTAGTGTTTTAGCTTCAGTGTATTAGTGATTTGATATTTATATACTGTACAAAATAGACACCACAATAAGTCTAGTTACCATCTGTCACTTTACAAAGTTATTACAATATCATTGACTATATTCCCTATGCTATACCTTACATCCCTGTGTCCTATGTATTTTAGAACTGAAAGATTGTACGTTTTAATCCCCTTCAGCTGTTTCATGCATCCCTTTATTCTCCTCCCATTTGGCAACTACTAGTTTATTCTCCATATGTATGAGTCTTTGTTTTGTTTGTCATTTTTTTTTACAATCCAAATATCAGTGAAATCATATGGGGTTTGTCTTTTTTTTTTAACTTATTTCACTTAGTATAATACACTCAAGGTCCATCCATGTTGTTGCAAATGACAGGATTTCAGAATAATGTTATATTACACAGACACACACAAACACACACACACAATATATCAAATCTTTATTCACTTATTGATAGACATTTAGGTTACTTCCATATCATGGATATTATAAATAATGCTGTGATGAACATAGGGGAGGATGTTTGTCTTTTCAAATTAATGTTTTTGTTTTCTTCTAAGAGATAAAGAGTGGTTTTAACTGCTATAGTGTTCCATTGTGTGTGTGTTTGTGAGAGATGCTCTGCTACATGATAATTTACTTATCTCTCTTTTGGGCATAAAAGATTTCATTTATTTATGACAAAGAATGTGCAGGGGTAGGGGCAAAGGATGAGAGACAATCTCAAGCAGAATCCCTACTGAGTGGGGAGCCAGGTATGCAGCTCAGTCTCTTAGGACTCGGAGATCATGACCTGGACAGAAACCAAGAGTCCAACACTAAGTGACTGAGCCACCCAGGTACGCCTGGGCATTACTATTTCTTGCTTATTTTATACTTCTGTTATTTTATTACCGCCTCTTTGTCATTCTGCACTTAGACTTTCTTTTCAGGAAAAAAAAATAAGGTTAAGTCACTCACTGCCCAAAACTGAATAAACTGATAGCTGCATAGATGGTTGAATATAAATCATTTATTGATTCTAAGGTCCCTGATAGCTGTTGCTCTCTATTTCCTAGCACCTGTTTTTTCAAAGATTCATCTCCTTTACTTCTCATCCACTATTCAACCAATAATCAGAATGCTGCCTTAAACTATGCATTGAAAATTATCTAAGGGAGGTCATTAATTATCTCCTAATTGCATCTAAAATATGCATCAAGTTCTACTCTTCATCTAAGCCATTACTACCTTAGCCCAAGCCAACATCATCATTTTCTTAAACAATTATAACATACTTCTAGTTTGTTTTCCCCACTCATGCAAAAGCCTTTCTCCAAGTCAGTCTCAGCACAGCCCTCAAATGTGGCATTTCTAGAGTTCATTTGTCTTGTGACATATTGTTTATTTGCTTAAAGCATCAGTGCTGTCGTATGGCACTAAGGCTGCAATATAAACTCCTCACCAGAATTTACCACCTCTCCCACTTCTGTCTCCTGTGGCTTGGCTTCTTGGTCATTATACTTCAACCACATTGTGTTTTATTTTTCAGTGTT